TGTGAAGGTCCAATTAAACACAATACATTAAATCCGAGATAACACAACAAACCTTCTTTGCTTGTCTCAGGTAACTGTAAGAGCAACCTCCTCAAACCAAATAAATCACGGCAAGCTACCCCCCCCAGGATGAGCCAACCTGGACTGGCAGCCGCCTACCCATTACGCCCCAGGTCCCCCTCCCCTGCCAACAAGAGGTGATGCAAGCAAGAGGGAAAGATACCCCAGCGACCGGTCAAGGGTCTCGGCGCGTTTGGGGGCTCCCCGTGGGATGTGTCTGCGTGAATCCTTGACTATGGGCCGAGTGTGCGGGCGAGTGTGACTGAATGGAGGGTACGCCTAAGTTGTTTGACACCGACTGTGTGTGCCCGGCCTCGTCGTGCCACGGCACTGCCTGCCATCCCGGGACCCCTCCTCCCCTCCTTGCGGATCGAGGGTGCCCGAGGTCCCCGGGGCTGTTGCATCCCCCCCTTTCCTTCACCGCAGAAGACCCTGCCCGCTGCCTGGACTGCAGGGTCCGCGGTCCATCTCACGCCCCGTCTCCCCGCGCAGGGCTGGCCAAGGAATGCGAGGAGGACCAGTTCCGGTGCCAGAACGGGCGCTGCATCCCCTCTGTGTGGAGATGCGACGAGGACGATGACTGCTCGGACAACAGCGACGAGGACGACTGCCGTGAGTGGCCGGTGGGGGAGGGAGCGCCGGTGGGGGACGCCATACTTAGCGCGCACGTGGCTCAGCTGCCGCCCAGCCACCTGCGTGGACCTCACCCCGGCAGCCGGGCAGCCGCCGGGCACCGCCTCCCTCGGGGCGGTGTGCTGAGCCGTCCCGCTGGGAGCTGGGCTGCGGGCGGAGCCCGGGGCGCAGGGGCCCTGGAGGAGGGCACGCCACACCCGGTGGCTGAGCCGGAACTGTGGGCGAGGACGCCACTGTCCCTGCGCGGGTCCGGCTTCCTACGAACCGGCCTCCAGGGCTCCAGCCTCGGCTCCATGGAACGCGCGGCTTTTTCAAAGTTCCGCACAGCTCCAGGCCTAGCCGCGCTTCTTTACTTGCTCGTTTCTTTCTTTCTTTCTTTTTTTTTTTTTGAATGAATGGGCTCCCCGGGGCCCCTGATTGGCTGGGCGAGGAACACCCCATAGGCCCCCGTGGCCTGAGCGGCCAATCGTGGTGAGGAAGGGTGCGTGGTTTTCGGGGCGCAGTGGGCGCAGGGGCCTTGCCCTGGCCCCGCCTTGGCCACACCCCTACGCTCATCCCGCGGGTAGTAGTTGCAGGCGGACCCGAGCTAAAGCCCGTGGGTTTTCTGCCTAGTCACGGGAAGCCCTTTTGTGGCACCCTCGTTAGCCGACCTGGATCTCCAGTCAGACCGACTGGGGCATGAGTCATGGCCTTAACCACACAACTAATGGGTCTTGGCTGCCTGTCACTACGTGAGCCAGTTAAGCAGAGACAGGGTTGAATCATATATGCGCCTTTCTTCCAATAATGCGGGCAGCATGGGTGAGCAGCAGGCCATCCACAAAAATCTGCTCTCCCCTTCCCAGAGCCAACTGCTTATATTGGGTAGGAGGCAAAGATTACGTGGGAGAGAAAGAATTCCAGGCATGGGAAAGGAGGCAAGGTGTAATGGTTACAGGCAATGCGGGCTGGGGGGCGGGGGGGGGGGGGGGTCTCCAGGCATCTCGGGGACAGGCAATAGGGGCTGCAAAGGGCAGGTGCCTCCAGGACTAGATTGCTGCAGCCAGGAGGTTGTAAATCTTTCCATAATAGTAGGCAGTTCTTGGGAAAGAAGGATGGACTGCATTCCGATGTTGGCTCCCATGTCCCAGGGTATGCAACTCTCAGCCATGTTAGAATGTGCTTCCTCCAATTAGAACAGAACCATCACGGTTAACAGAACATGATTAATATTTCTTATAATTGTAGCTAGTCCCCAATATTCTATTTCTGCCCCTAACAGTGGGGCAGACCAGGAAGGAGGGAGCCAGGAGGAAGAGTCTGTTTCCTGGGAGGGACCCGAGGATCCCGAGGCTGCATGTGCACCCCGGCTGTGTGTTGGTTGCAGGTGATCTTTTCTGAGTTTGGTGTTTGTACATCGGGGGCAACTGCTTTGGAAGTTCCTTCTTGGGGTGCACGCGGTTTCAGATGTCTGTGGGACCAGAAGCAAGTTAGCAGGCAGTTGCCGCGTGGGGTGTAGTTCCAGGAACAGAAAAACAGGATTTTTAGAAACAGAATCAGGTGGCCATTCATTCTGTTACTGGGCGCCTACTGTGGGCAGGCACTCGGGCACTTGGAGAGCAGGCCCACCCCACTGGCCAGGGGACCAGGATCTGCGGGAGGAGAGCAATGAGTGGACAGACCCTTAGCTTCACACGGTGGCAGGGGTGGGATGGGGTGGGGGTGGGGTGGTGGTGGTGGGGTAGAGGGAACACCTGGACAGGCACCATCTGTTGAGTCCCCAAGGTTTTATTTTGTTTTTTAAATCCTCACCGGAGAACATGTTCATTGATTTTTAGAGAGAGGGGTTGGGGGGGTGAGGAGAGAGAAACATCAATGTGAGAGAGGAATATCAATCGGTTGCCTCCCTAACTTGCCCCAACCGGAGATAGAACCTGCAGTCTAGGTATGTGTGCTGATGGGGAATCGAACCCATGGCCTTCTGGTGTATGGAATGACGCTACAACCTACTGAGCACACCGGCCAGGGCAAGGTTTTTGTTTGTTTGTTTGTTTTTGTTTGTTTTTAAACTGGGTTTGCCAGTCAGCCACTGGGTTCGTTTTCTCAGACCCAACCCAGACTTGGCTCTATGACTAGGGCACATCTTTTCCTCCTGCCTCAGTTTCCTTACCTGAACACTTGGGGTAATGATTCCTGCTCTGTTTTTTGTTTTGTTTTTTTTTAATATATATTTTTTAATTGGTTTCAGAGAGGAAGGGAAAGGGAGAAATAGAAACATCAATGATGAGAGAGTCATTTCTCCCCTGCATGGCCCCCACAGGGGATCGAGCCCACAACCTGGGCATATGCCCTGACCGGGAATCGAACAATGACCTCCTGGTTCAGAGGTCGACTGAGCCACGCCAGCTGGGCTCCTGCTCTGGTTTTGAGGACCAGTTCTAGTAATGTAGTTGGAAGTAATGAGACTAACTTGCTGACCATTAGCTGTGTGCCAACTACTATGGCTGTGCTTATATAAACTCCTCTAATCTTCAGAATAGTCCTGTTTTACAGATTATACAGACACAGGCGCTGAGAGATGAAGTTACTTGCCCCACAGCTATTGAGTTACCAAGTAGGACCTTGAATTTAAGCATCTGACTCCAGGGTCCTTAGACTAATCGTGACTCGACCATTACCCAGTGCTATTGAAGTTATGAATATGGCTGAGCTGGGGTAAAATATTATGAGTCTCATTGTGGGGAGTTGCTCTCTGTGGTCCCATTACAGCAGGAGTGCTGAGGATGAGGCAAAGAAATGAAAACTACATTTCTGACCGTGGCCAGGTGGCTCAGTTGGTTGGAGCATCCTCCTGTACACCAAAAAGTTTTGGTTTCAATTCCCCATCAGGGCACATACAAAGGTTTTGGGTTCAACCCTTGGGTTGAGGCGAGTATGGGAGGCAACCAATCGATGTTTCTCTCTCTCCCTTCCTCTTTCTCTCTAAAATAAATCAATAAAAGCATATCCTCCATTGAGGATTTAAAAAAAAACACCTGAATAGCCCTGGCCCAGTGTTGGTTGAGCATTGTCCCATGAACCGAAAGGTGGCCAGTTTGATTCCCAGTCAGGCCACATGCCCAGATTGCAGGTTCTGTCCCATCAGTATACAACAGGAGGCAACCAATGGATGTTTCTCACATCAAAGTTTCTCTCTCTCCCTCTCCCTTCCTCTCTCTCTAAAATCAATTAAAACAAACAAACAAACAAATAAACAAAAACCCCCTGTATTTCTGGTCTAGTTATACCTCATCTCCCTGATTCTTTATAATAGCAATCTTCCGAGAGTGGCTGTGAAGAGCAGACCTTTTTCTTATCCTGTTTGTAGGTAAGGGTCTGGCTCAGAGAAGTTGAGTGACTTGCCCAAGATCACACAGCAGACAATGACAGAACTTGGTCAAGATGTCCACCTGCCTCCCAGCTCTGGGGCACTATTTGCTGGGGGTGGGGAGTGGGTGTGGAAGGATCTAGGAAGGTGACCCAGGTTTTTGAAAGTCATACTCTGAGTGTTGAGCCTGTTGCTTTTTATCTTTATGCAAATCTCTGGGCAAGATGAGTGTGAAGTAGTGGGTGGCTGGGTGGCCCCAGATGGGACCAGGGGAGATCTGATGGCCAATCTGGGTTCCTGGTTTCATCCTGAGATAGATGGGGTGGCGTCATAGGCAGAGAGTGAAGAAAAACAAATGACATTGATATCTTGCAGTGGAAGATGGGTTGGGGGCTTGGCTGTTAGTACCAAGTATCAGTTCCACACTCTTGTCGTCTCTGAGTTTGTGTCCTCCTTATCTGCTGAATGGGGGTAGCTGTTCCTCCATCATAGGTTATACGTGTGAAAAATGTCCACGCAGGGCTGGCAAAGAGAAGGGAATGGATGACTGTTCACACCTCCAAGGCCTTTAGAAAGGGGCCCCTAGGAGCCACAAAAAGCAACCTTGAAGAAAGGGGGTGGGTCCAATTGTTCACAAATGATCTTTCCTCACTTCTTCCTTCCTCCTCTGGGGATTTCCCCCTCATTCTGGGCCACCTGTCCAAACTGCATTTCTTTGAACTATCCTCCCCTCAAGGCTGTTGGCTTCTCCCTGAGCAGCCTCCCTGCCTTATAAAACGACACCTTTCTTTGGCACGTCCACCCTTCCACTCCATGACAGCTGCCCCACCTTTGTACCCTTTGACCTGCAAAATGGGTGTTGCAATTTGTAAATGAAGTCTGTGAGAGGCAAAAGGAGTTCAAGCTCCCAGAGGGCCAGAATGCAGCCTGTGAGTACCAAACACTGATGGAGGCTGGGGAAGCACTGGAAAGCTTCCTGGAGGAGGAGACAGATAGACCAGGCCTTGAAAGATGGTAACTAATACCATTCCTCTATAGCAGTGGTTCTCAACCTTCCTAATGCCGCGACCCTTTAATACAGTTCCTCATGTTGTGGTGACCCCAACCATAAAATTATTTTCGTTGCTACATCATAACTGTAATTTTGCTACTCTTATGAATCGTAATGTAAATATCTGATATGCAGGATGGTCTTAGGCGACCCCTGTGAAAGGGTCATTCGACCCCCAAAGGGGTCGCGACCCACAGGTTGAGAACCACTGCCCTAGAGCTTACCATTTAACAATAGGTAGTACAGTCCCCATATTATAGAGGAGGAAACTGGTCAGAGAGGTGAAATTACTCTCCCAAAGTCTCGTCGGGGTTGGAGGCAGCACTCAAACCAAGGCCTTCTATATCCTCGTCCTTGGCCACGGCAGGTGGGACTCGGCCCTCTGGAGATACGGGACAGAGCTGGTGGGCTGGGGAGAGGAAAGGCTCCCAGAGTGTCAGTTCCCAGCTCAAAGGCCTTCAAAGTGTAGGAAGGGGCTGGAAGCTGGAAGGCCAGGCCCCAGGAAGCCCAGGGGTGGCCCAGCCAGGGGAAGTTGGGTGGGTCCCTGGCTGTGGACGTGGGTCACGTAGGCCAGCTGGCCCC